GGAGGGACCCTCGTGACGGAGGAGCCACCTGGCGTCACCTCACCCAGCTGCCAGCAAAGAGCTTCAACCAGTGCGTGGCTGTGATGGATGGTTTTCTGTATGTGGCGGGAGGAGAGGACCAGAACGACGCCCGAAACCAGGCGAAACACGCCGTCAGCACCCTCAGCAGGTGGGAGCAGGAACAACCAGCAGGACGCTCTCAGATATCTGACTGTAGTGACGCTCACAGGGGGGTTAATGCTGCTCTTTGATCATATCATGGTGACTTTGATAGAAGATCACGTCTCAGAAAATATTAAAGCAATAAAAAGAATATTACTGCAGAACATCTGGAAAAACATTTATAACCATACATCAACAGGACCTTGAGATCAGTAACACGTCCCTGCTACTTTGGTTTTACCTAATCAGATATATTAGAGCCCCACTTTTCCCTGAACGAGCCTTTAACTGACTCTCTCCTCATCCATTTCCCTACATCAGATATGACCCTCGCTTCAACACCTGGCTCCACCTGGCCAGCATGCGTCAGCGCCGCACACACTTCTCCCTGGCTGCCAGCGGCGGTCGACTGTTCGCCATCGGCGGGCGCAACGTGGAAGGTCTCCTGGCCACCAGCGAGAGCTACCTGCCCTCCTCCAACACCTGGCAGATGCGTGCCCCCATGGAGATGCCCCGCTGCTGCCACGCCAGCGCCACCCTGCCCTCCGGAGACATCCTGGTGACCGGTGGCTACATCAACTGCGCCTACTCCCGCTCTGTGGCGTGCTACAACGTGGAGACCGACACCTGGTCCGAGAAGCCTCCCATGGAGACGCCCCGCGGCTGGCACTGCTCCGCCACCGTCGGAGGGAAGGTGTACGTGGTTGGAGGAAGCCAGCTGGGGCCCGGTGGAGAGCGGGTGGATGTGCTGTCAGTGGAGGTCTACTCTCCTGAGAGTGGATCATGGAGCCGGGCCGCCCCGCTGCCTCTTGGTGTGAGCACTGCAGGTCTGTCCTCGCTGGCAGAAAAGCTCTACCTGCTGGGCGGCTGGAATGAAGCGGAGAAACGCTACAAGGCGGCCGTGCAGAAATACGACCCGGCCACAGACAGCTGGGCTATGGCGGAGGATCTTCCCGAGCCCACGGTCGGAGTCTCCTGTTGCACCCTGACGCTCCCGCATCGCCAAACACCGCGCCGGCAGCACCGCAACACCCCGGGCAACGAAGACCAGCAACAGGTCGCCAAGAACCGAAGCAGAGAGAGCAGCATGTCTTCATCACAGAGCACCACCGCATAAGAACACGGAGGAGGAGAGAGACCAGAGGAGAGCAGGGGCGGGTCAACCTCAGGACAACATCTGGATCATGTCTGATGTCTTTTCTGAAAAGTTTAGTAAACGTCACAATTTAAGAACAAATCAGATAAACTTAAAGGTTCATATTGTAAATTGCTACATTTTAAAAAAGTTCCAAACCTTTTTGAAAAACGATCTAAAGTTCTGAAAAGCTGCTATGACTTTATGTCCAAAGCATCTGTGTTCTGTGTGTAAGAGGCAAACTAGGGCCGGGCCAGATTTTTGTGTAATAACACGATGTGCTGCAGCAAGTCAGCGTAACTTAACCAGCCACTAATTTAATAAATTTAAAGGTATTTACTGTGGCTGTCAGGAAAAAGGCAAAGCCTGTCGAGGAAATAGGGGTAGTTCAAAAGAAAGATCAAAAGTAAAACATCTAAATTAAAATCTCAACAAACATCAGTAGAGTGCTGCCCCCTGCTGGTGACAGGTTTAATTAAAGGGTAATTACAAAAAGTACCTTTAAACTGCCGCAAGTGCTGAGTAAATGACAAAATAAATGTAAACATCTGAGAAAACATTTACTCAAACACTCAAATGTGAATGTAGACACGGTAAAGTCACACTTATCATGCATATTAAGTTCATATTAACAGAAGTGAGCATACTCAGCAAACATTAAAACAGCCACGGTGACATTGCTTTCAGGTACGACAGAGGCCACAGACAGTCGAGGAGTTAAATACACGTGTCTTTGTTTTTTATATAATGACATCTGATCGACAGTCGCACATCTTCCACAGTTTGAGCCATCACCATTCATCTGCATGTCAACTTATATCTGATCTGATTAAGGTGAACTAAAAGCGCCTCTCTGCACCGACGTCAGCGTTTCCTGTGATGGACATTCAGTAAGAAATGGGCTCCAGAGTGTTTCACTTCGTTCAAATCGACAATCTGACCAAAGATTTAAACATTTAAACTTGCAATTATAGGCAGCTAACATGAAAACATGTAATATCCAGTAAGTGACAGGGCGTGTATGTAAGAATGAGAAGATGAAATACTTTATTTATCCAAAAAGTAGCAAAATACAAACAAAACACAAAAAAAGATCACGGGCTCAGACGCTATAATCTATTTTATTGTTTTAAAAATTGTAAGCTGATTGATTTGAAACTCAGGTTCAAAGTTCCAGTCTTGTATTTGTCCAATTTAACGTCTTCAAAGACACATTTCTGTCCACGTGCGAGTGTCCTCCATTTTTATGACTCAAAGTTAGAATCTGAGCCTTACTGATGATGCAAACAACCACAGCACCCGAGCTGTTTTAAAAGAAAAAAATAGGAGACTGCATGGTCCAAAGGAGGTTTAAGGTGGATTGGAAACAGAAAAGGTAACGGATGGATGGGAAGGTGGAGCTGGTGGAGGAAGAGAGGCGACAGGTGGATGATGAAGGACGGATAGATGGAAAAAAGGTTATCTGTGTCTGGGGTGGTTTGATCAAACGTTGCTGTGAATCTGCAGGTTGTGTACAAAGATGTTTCTAAGCCAGCGCGTGGCTGTCAAAACAAGCGTGAATGTGTGTGTGTGTGTGTGTGAGTGTGAGAGAGTGATGGCAGGAGTGTGTGTGTCTGCTACAGCGAGAAAAAAAAACTGACAAAAACTGCAAAAAATATGACGATTTATCATCAGGGAACTTGAAATACTCAAGATCAACACAAGAAAACCAGCAACAAACGATCATGTAATCAAAGATTTATTTATTTAATATTTAATTTTAAGTAGTGTAGCTTAAACGTAACAAAAAAGACAAAAAATATGCAGATGCAGTGCCTGGAAAAATATATAAAAAAAATAAAAAAGTTTAAGCAACTTGGCTTCAACACTAAACAATTAAGTTTCCCCAAAACATAAAAAAGCATAAAAATCTGAATAAAAGGATAAAAATATACAAATAAAGAATTAAGTGGTGTCACGGCTCACCTGTTTTAACTGAAACTAAGATAAACCGCAGAACCAGTGAGACTCCAGCAGCTGTGGAGCCCTTTCACAGATAAATACTCTGAATCCTGCACTTCATCTGATTGGCTGAACATGTGTTTGGGTGGTTTCTGTGGAGTTTCACTGAATAAAGACAATCTGATCAAAACAATTCGACTCTGCCTCGTTTATTGTGGACTCTTTTCCAGACGTCACGTTAGAAGTGGAGACACGAATGACTTACTGCTTTTCAGGGCAGAAAATCAGTGCAGGAAACATGACTGTTAAAGATGTATGCGCTTGGTATAAAACAAGCACATTAAAACTTTATTTGACCAGATTCCTTTTTAATTTACATTTTACATCACACTTGTGTAACAGAGTTACATGAAGAATTTACAC